TGTTCTGTAATGCTGAAGACATTTCACAGTGAAAAGTTAAACACAAGAAAAGTAATTAGTACATATAGGAGATAAAACGCTTAGAAAAAGGACGGCCCAACATGGGAGAGTCAATTCTACAGGTCAGGACTCAGCAGTCTCCCTATACTTTTGGAAAAGGGATGTTTCTTCAAGGACAGTGAGGTGCATATTTTGGACAGAGAAGACAACTGACATATACAACATTTCTTCAAGCTTGTATGACAATTGTTAAGTGTACATCCTTAAAAAGATGATTAAAGCTTAATTCTGGAAAATAATAATGTAGATACTGTAATAGCTTTGTAAGTTAGCCCTAACGTATGTATAATGTGTGTGGGGGGCTGCTGCATAGTATAAAAATCATATCTTGCTGCAAACCAGCTCCTACACACAGCGTTGGATTTCCAGAAGCTGTAGGGATGAGAGCAGCAGTCATGGCAGGGAAATGCTCTAGTCACCTTCCCACTCCCTCCTCTCTCCTTCTATGTTTACAAAAAGCCTTATAATTTTTCACAGAATACAAGAATACAAGGCATTCTCTGAATGGAGGAGGAGAAGGGAGAGGAAAGGAGTGGCACGTATGCGACACAATCTTCCCTCCTTCTCCTCCTCCATGGAAGCACCTGGAAATCCAGTGCTGTGGGAGAAGTTCAGCTTTAATTATAAGATTAGTAGGAAAAAGAAACATGAACAAGCGCAACTTATTTACAGCCCCAGTACTTCTTTTGTGATGGATATCCATTTTGAAAGGAACAAAACAAGGGTCAATGTTTGAATTAGATGAAACAACCAAGTGTTAGCAATTGTTACACACTGGGGTTGATTTACATAAGGAGAGTATATTTACCTATAAAAATATCACTTTGAGGGAAATTTTCACATGTGGTGAAAATTCACTTCATAGAAAATATCCAATCACATGCAAGGACAATTTTAAAAATAGGATTTGTGCTTGGACATGATTGGATGTTTGAAGTCAGCATAGCTTTACCACATTTACTAAGCTAAATGAAAATTCCCTTTGCTATGTGATGTGCTATTATCCCTTAGTAAATAAATCGTACTGTAGTTCAAACTCTGCATTACAATAGATTTTAACCTGGTAGAAATAACTGTATTTATTTTGTCTGTGATAAAATATACTGCATATTATTCTCTGTAATGTGTCACAGGATACTTTTTATTCAATTTTATCTCACATATTCTTCCTTTCAGCTTTCTTCCATGTATTTATGACAGAAAAGACAGGCAGAGAAGTGGATTTTCACTCATCCATTCAAACATGAAAACGCAGATAATGCAAAGAACATGGAATAATGCAAGTTTCATATTTGTTATATTAAGTGTTTGTAGTAAATAGATGTTGATATATTTTAGATGTAAAGATGATTCAGCAGCTAACATCTGCCTAGCTGATAGAACACTGAAAATGTATACTCAGTGTGTATGTATAAACAACAAATAGTCAACACTAATACTACTTGAGTAGATACACATATAAAAATATTTGTTTACTGCTCACATAAGTAAACTACTCTGATTTGTCTTATTAATATTGGCTAATTCAATCACTTTTGCTGTGGAAAATACTGTGGTGATATGCTGGCTCCATCCAGCAGGATGAAAAAGAAGCAAGACTAGCCGTATTAACTCTTTTTATATTGCCAATATTAAGATAGCAAACTTCATATAAATGTTAAAATAAGTACAGGAAACTGCACAGCAGACAGATGAGGGTATAACAATATAGACTGCTGCATACTGGAGTTAGGTTTTAAATCACTCCTTAGCAACAGTCTTCATTGTATAAATATCAGAACTCATTTTGTCATTATGGTTTTGTAAAATGATTATCAGTTGCTTGCCTTATGATGACTTAAAACAGAACTATGAGCCCTTTTTTTTGCCCATAGTTCTCTGCAGGGTCACAGGAGGACATATGCTAATGTCCTCCGGTGACACATAACTTAGTATATATCGCCGCAGCCAGGACGGATCCCAACAATACTGTCGAGATCCACCCTGCTGATTGTCAACTGTGCTTACCCCCTACCCTGTCCGTTTCTTCAGTCAGCGTTGGAGAAATGGAGAGGGGAGTGGGGGGGTGAATCCCTGCACGGACAGTCACCACTTTGTGAAGGGAGAGGATCGGGAGGTCAGTGATTGGCGGTATGTGTTTGCTGACTTCCCGATCAATAGAGCCGACCTGTGATAGCTTCAGTGTCACAGGTCAGCTTGAATTATGGGGATGAGTGTTTTTCACTCACCCCATAATTCCCCTTTAACTGCCTGTCAATTGTGACAACCAGACACAAACACTAACAAGTCTCTGTCAATTTCATCATGCAAATGGTTATAAATTGTCAATTTATTTTTGTTTCAAATAAGTTTCAAGCAAGGAAATTGATACTGGGACATAGACTCCCTAAACAAGCATTTGATAATTTAAAGTAAAAGTTCCATTCTCCCATTAAATGGCTGCCCATTATATGAAAAGATGTTTGCATATAAAATTGATGTGATTTATTCATTATTTTGACTCTAACATCATAAAAGCTCTTTAAAAAGATGTACTGTATTTCAGAGATTTTCTTTTGCATACATTAGTGTCTCAGTAAGCTATAATGCAAAAATAATTTTGTTTACACATTGTGCACAAGCATAGACATAAAACTAAGTGCCTGTTTATATTATATCTTTGGAAATTAACAAAAAAGGCATTGTTAAGTGCAAACATGACAGGTTTATTTTTTTAAATGTAGCATAAAATATAGAGAAATAGCAGCAGCTAATGCAAAGATATTATTATTATTATTTTTTTTATTTTAGATTAGGCAAACTGCTGATGTAGTTGTTATGATATATACAATTGTAAAATGAATACTTTCTAGCTACAAAAGCAGTTTTAAATATATAGCAGATATTTGCTAATATGCTTTGGCAAGATAAGTAAAACCTCCTATAGAAATCTATAATGTAAACACATTAAGCACATAAAGATGAGTTTGGCCAACATGCCCCTCTGTACCACCCTTGTACTGTACTGAATGATATAAACAACTACTCTGTACTAAAGTCAATTAAAAATCAGCTTTAACTATATTACATTACTATCAGGTTACTTAAATAAGGCAAAAAGCAACAGGTTTGTTACACCAACCAGATTTTACCTTTCCCTACAGATTAAAAAAAAAAAACCTGATTCTGTGTTATGGTTTCCTAACCATCAGCATGTCATCAATGCTCCTTATATTCTGTGCTAAGTGTATCTCCATCTACTACTACTGCATGTGCTAATAACATGTCATGCTTTATAGGCCTTATGTATGTCAAATAGGGGTCTATTCACAAAGCTGCCGAAGGATCTGGCCGTAGCTTCGGCCGATCCTTCGGCTAGCTTCGGCCCCAGGACCCCTTCGGTTACCCTAAATGTGCATTCTTGGGTTTCAATATACTTTAGATATATATACATATATACAAACCAAAGTTCTGTGGAACCATAGGTCCGCAGGGGTTTCTGCTGCCGTTGCAGCAGATTTGTATCCGCCCAATGATAGTTTGACTTTTCCCCTGCAGCTACCGCTAAGAGTTTTAGGACATCACACTGTAGGAAGTGGGATGAGAAGAGTGGGCTGCTTGGGTAATTATAAAGCTACTGGGCAGAGCTGACAGGGTGGGACTACAGACTGATAACTTGAGAGAATGACAGGACTTGTGCAGATGAATACCAAGGAGAACACATCATCCCCGGCCATGGATTTTATGGATGAAACCTACACCTTCTACAGGTACAAGATTGGCAGCTGCCAGGCGGTGATACCCAACATAAATCAGCGAAGAGACATGGCATCCTGTACTTTCCTGCACATGTAATCAATGCAAAGTTTCTCTCTGAGCACAAATACAACGTTTTTCCCTGAGCACTAATGCAAGTATTGCCCTGAGCATCAATGCAAAGTTAAAATTCTTCCCTGAGCACCAATGCAAAGTTTTTTTTCCCTGAGAACCATCACAAAGTTAAAGGGTAAGTTCAGTTTCTCACAAAATGTGAGAAAATTAGCTTAATGAGAGCATCCTGCCTCCTCTCCCAGCCCCTGCTGACAATACCTGTATGATCCCCCTCCAGCCTCTTGCCAGTCAGGGTGTAATGAATATAACACTCACAAAATGTGAGCGCTCATTGGTCAGCATGACCAATAAGAAGTGCTTCTGAGCCGGAGACCAGGTCCCGAGCAATATTCCCCCGCTATACACTGTGGGGCTGTGACCGTACATCGGGTGGCAGGGATTGGTAGGGGATCACACAGGTATGTGAAGCGGGGGCTGGAGGAAATGGCAGGGTGCTGTCGCAAAGTTCATTTTCTCACATTTTGTGAGAAAGTGAACTTACCCTTTTAAGGTTTGCATTAAACACCAATGCAAAGTTAAAGTTTTGCACTGAACACCAATGCAATTCTGTTTTAGATTTTATTAGTGTTTGTGCTTGTTAGATGTACATATTTTGTGCTATATCTCCAACCCACTGATCAGACTAATGTACTGTGAGCTCTAGATGAGAACCTTTTTCAGGTGTTCCCCAAGATGTTAAAATGTTTTCATGTGCTCCTTAAAAGTAGAAAAATTTAGAAAGTCTGATGTATGCTGTTATTTCACCATTAAACAAAAGCATCAGTGGGTTATGATTAGCATATTATATTTTAAGAGTCTTCCAAATTTGAGCTAACTGCATATGTATAATATTCCACTCACCGACCAGATTTAAGAAGATAAATAATCTAAAAAAGGATAACAATATGCACAAACAGGCTGTCCAGTTATATACTGTACCTGCAGTGTCAACTAAAGGATTTTCAAGAATATTTTGCAGACCTAATATTGTGCAGTATATGTTTGTACAACATATTGCGGTTTTTGATTTTCAGATGTTCTCAGCCTATTTTAAGCCTACTGCAATATTAATTTATGTCCATTGTACATACGTGTCTTTCTTGCAGAGTCTTCTACAAAGAGAGAAGAGATGTCTTCATCAACTCCAGCTGTGTTTTTTGCAATACATGTGTATGCTCCAGTGTCTTCATAACGAACATTACTGATGTGAACCTCACTGCCATTTGCTGAAAGAGAAAGCATTGGCGTTTAAAATATATGTTTTGTTAAGCTTTGATTATGCAGTATCAAGATGATATAACCCAACTTTTTAACAGCATATCTATCTATCTATCTATCTATCTATCTATCTATCTATCTATGTTAAATGTTTGTAGCATTACTTTTGTACAGTTAAAAAAAAACCTGGGATCACAACATATTTAACAAGCTGAGACATCCACCTAAAGTACCATACATTTTCCAGTTATAGTTAAGTGTTATAGATATGATGTTATCAATTATCTAATCAGTCTACTGCAGAAAGTCAAATTATTAATTGTCAAGTTGAAATAAGCTCTGTCTGAGTGAAATCTATTTATGTGTAAAATATATTACGCATTTTGTTGCAGGTATCTATCCATTTTTATAGAGTGTGCAGACCATTGGTTTTATATGTGAGCTGATAGATGTTTAGCAGATATTTTATCTTCTAGTAAAGCATACTCAAAATGTAACAATGTTTATATACTGGATATTTTGCTAACTAGATGTAGCCAATGCCTCAGTCTAATTGTACAGATGATATCTTAAATGGGTTTCCAGTTTAGATGTCCACACTTTACACAAAGGCTTTGTAAACTAGCAAATTGTACATTTTGCACCTTTTTTTTGTAACAATAGATCTTTATTAGGATTTTATATAAAACATCATATAGAAGTAAACAAAAATATGGTGATGCATACAGGAAGGATTGAGAGTACAGTAAAATGATACAAAGGTCAATTAACTAAGTGACATATGTAGGGGTCAGTCAAATAAGAATAAAGTAAGTATCTCCCATAACATGAGGATATACAATATAGATTGAACAAGAAAGAAAACAGTGCAAGAAAAGTACAGGTGAAACTCGAATAATTAGAATATTGTGCAAAGTTCATTTATTTCACTAATGCAACTTAAAAGGTGAAACTAATATATGAGATAGATTCATTACATGCAAAGCAAGATAATTCAAGCCGTGATTTGTCATAATTGTGATGATTATGGCTTACAGCTCATGAAAACCCCAAGAACCCCAAATCCACAACCTCAAAAAAGTAGATTATTACATGCAATCAATAAAACAAGGATTGTACATAGAACAATATCGGACCTCTGAAAAGTACAAGCATGCATATGTACTCAGTACTTGGTTTGGGCCCCTTTTGCAGAACTTACTGCAATTACTTTTGCATGATATTCTAATTATTCGAGTTTCACCTGTAAGAGTGTTACGTGGCAAAATAGGGAGAAAAACACCTAGGTTAGTGCCCATGTGATAGTGGTTGTATGATACAAAATATCAGATGGGAAAAAGATAAATCAATATTTGGACACATACTTCGATGAGTACGTATGGTGGACATGAGGAAAGGGCATGGGAAGGCTCAGGGAGGGAAGTAAAAAAAAAAAGAATATCAGTGATGACAGTGGAGATCATGAAATATGTATCGTACAGCAATTATCTGTTAACCAACAAGCCCAATTTGTGGAGAACTTGCACTTGGATGGGTGTTTAAGGCTCCAATGTCAGATCCTAGGAAGTACACGATACCAGATTTATGTAAAACCACTTTAAGGTAGCCTTAATGTACCCTATCGAAAGCCTTCTCTGCATCCAGAGAAAGGAGCAGAGAAGGCTGCCGACAGTGGTCGGTCTGCTGTCTTAGATCTATAAGTCGCCACATGCCGTCAGTAGCCTGTCTACCTTAAATGAAACTCACTTGATCTTGGAGGATATGTAGTAATCTGTTGGCAATGAGTTTAGCATATATAATGTCTGTATTGAGTAAGGATATAGGGTGGTAGTTGGCGGGATCCTCTGCAGATTTATTTGGTTTGGGGATAGTAATGATAAGGGCTTCAAGTGATTCTTTGGGAAGGGAAACCATAGTTGTGGGCCTCATTTGCAACAACACATAAATGTGGGGCTAAAATAGATGAAAAAGTTTTATAGTACTCTGCACTGAAAACGTCAGGGCTGGAGGCTTTATCTAAAGGTAAGTCAGAGATCACCTTGAGAATTTCAATTGTGGAGAAAGGGGACTTCAAAAGTTGTGTGTCATCTGAAGAGTATGAGGGGAGATTTAAGGAAATGTGCTACCAAGTAGAGTGGTTTCAAAGAAGGCTTGCACAATCTGAAAATGTTTAATTTTCGCCAGCCAAATGCTACTTTGCAGAAAACATAGACAGAGTGAATGTTATTTTTAAAGAACTAAAACAACAGATCTGTGAAACCCCATGTCACTATAATGTTTCTAGATCAGGCAAATAGCATTGGGCATATTTCAGAAGATTTAAAAAAGCTAGCTCCTGAGGGAAAACCATTTAGCATCCCTTTAAGGGGAAAATGTAAAAAAATTATCAGTTACTCTGGTGCTATCCTAAAGTTCCTGGTTGGCACATGTCTTTTAACATAATAATTAAATACTGTCTCATGGGCAGTAAGGGAATTCTTCACTTGCTTCAAGAGCTCTAGGTTCTGCTGCTATTTCACACTTCCGGGTATGTTCTGTAGTGATATATGGTTCAGTGCTATAAATCACAGTACAAGGCAGGGACAACACTATCCTATTTACCTGGAAATGTTGTTTAGTAGCAGCACCCAGACCTCTTGAAGCAAGCAAAGATTTTCCTCGCTGCCAGTCCAAAAGGTAAGTACTTAGCCTATTCTTTTGTAGGGTGCCTGCCATTCAAGCACTTTAGGGTAGTGATAAGGTTGCTTTAAAACTCAATTAAACCCTCAGTTTAAATCAACAATAAATATTCAATGTGCATCAAAAAAGGTTTTCAATGTTTTCTAAAGCAGCCACAGCCTAAAGTAGAGAAGTTTGCCCCCTGCTAGCATAATACAGAAGGGTACCCTTTCTCTCTGCGGGTAGGCAGTGGTTTCATTGCAGAGGTCTGATGTATAGCCCTGCAATCAGCAACGTTCATATCAAGACTTTTCATACCTTTTGTTTTTGAAATGGATGGTATTTAGAAAATTTAAACTGAAAGTTTAATCAGGCTTTAATTTAGAAGCTATGGCAAGCAGGTCCTTCTGTGCTTCTACATGGAGGGGTCACAAACATGCAGGGTATTTCATGTTTTCAAACTTTTTTTTAAATGAAAACCTTATTTTTTTAAATTATAGGTACAGGATTCCAACTCTCTTAGTTTTCTTCTTTGCGGATTGTACAGACGTACAGAAAACCTATATATAATAAACCTATTATCAGCATGCGTATTCCAAAACTTTATAGGGACTATTATTTTAAACAACAAAGGATATAGGCATTATATCGTTTCAATTCATTGTCTTTCTAACATCTGGTATATGACAGGTCTCAAGTTTCATTTGTTGTAGAGATTAATACATCTTGGGCTATGTATCCGTGTTGTGTGAGGAAGCAGCTGAGCAAGAAATTGAATGAATACAATTTGCATGAGCTCTAAGAGTTTTGTAATTACCTGTCAATCAGTTTTAAGGAAAATTTTAACTAAAAGTTGTTTCAATGTTGAATTCTTCACTATTAGGAAAATGGATCTCGGGGGGTTGATTTACTAAAGGAAAATAAGCTGATCACTTTGCACAGGAATTTGCACATTGCAGAGGCATTTTCTTCAGTTTAGTGAATGTGGTGAATTTTCATTTTGCAAAGAATACCCAATCATGTGCAAGGGAAATTAAAAAATATATATTTTTGCTTGCACATAATTGGATGATAGAAATCAGCAGAGCTTTACCTGATTCACTAAACTAAAGTAAATTTCCCTTGCAAAGTGAACAGTCTATTTGCCTTTAGTAAATCAGTGCCTCAATGTCATTCCATGGGGACTATATTGTTCTTTTTACAAAAAGGTAAAATCATTTTTAGCAAATGTTTTAAGAAAATTAGGGAACAAATAAGAAATAAACAATAAATAAACAGAATAAAGTATATATTACTCACAGCACAGCTTGGACAATGTTCATACATCAAAAGAGGCAGATTTTATAAACAACTTTTGACTTTGACATGCTGTTTACACCTACCATACCGGGAATGCACATCACATTCATTGTGCACATTCACTTGCAGTTTGTTGCTTTGCTTCCCATGCATCCAATGGGTACCGCACGTGTAACAAATGCGGAAAAGTAGCATATGTTGCCTGTTCTGCTAGAGGTGACCCACATTTTACCTGTGTGTTTGTTGTGTTTTAACATACATGAATGCGTGGGAAAATTTGCTTTTTCCAGCTGCATTTTGGGTCCCATGAACAAGTAATAGCACTGCAAGTGCGTTCTACATTCTATGAACACGTGTCAAAACGTATGTTTTTTACTTGCGTTTGGGACTTTAAAAAGTTGATAGAGTTGTGCAACACAAAACTTGCATACGTCAAGGATTACCCGTACTCCAGTCTGCTGATGGAAATTGTAAAACAGATCCAAACCACATGACATTTGGTTTCCTGAAGCATTGTATATCAAACAAATTCATTTTTTCAAAAAAAATAAGGTTTAACTTTTTTCATCATTTGTTCCTCTTAGTTCTGCTATTCTCTTGTAGCCTCTTTTAGCCATTTCTTTTAACATGCTCTCAATCCAGCAGCTGCATTTCATTGCTCATGGTAGTTTGGCTGATGATGACTAAAGCTAATTTACTAAAGCAGTTGAGAGTCTTCACTCAGCGGTTGAGTTGAGATTAGCTTTAGTTACTCAATCATGTGAAAAGAAGATTCCTGTTTTTTTTTATTTTATCCACATATTATTGGCATTGGGTAAGTGGACAAAAATAACCGATTTAGGTGCCTGGATTTGCAAACACTAAACCCACACATGTGTCTTAACGTATAGTAAATGCCTGACCCCAGGGGCATCACTAGAAACCACAGCATAGAAAACATTTCATGGGGTCCCCTCCCCCTACAAAAATGCAATTAAATACCCCCCACTAACTTTCCACTTCACAATGTTTATATTTGCTGCATCCCACCGGATTCTACAGCAATAAGGCA